CTCGCTCATATTCTGACCTACGCATTCTCAGACCCACTCGTACTCAGACTCTCCCATACCTAGACTAGCTCACACTCGCACTCAACCATACGCAACCCCGTTTATAAATCAAGCTGGTTTATATCCGTAAGCTCTTGCGCCAGACACTCACGGCGGACGTGTCCATGCAAATAGATGCACAGATGGGGAGCTCAACGCAGTGAATAGTATTATAGTATGTATTATTATATGTACAATATTGATATCGAGGCTAATTCTAGTTCTAGACTAGGCACACCACCCACGAGCTGCAGGCCGGCGCCAGGCAGGCCTGGCGCAACTCCGCGAAGTGCCCTGGCCGAATCGCGTGGGACACGCTGGTCATCCGCGATTGCAGGCACGTGACCTGCGCAAAGCAGGTCTTCGAGGAGTGCGAGCAGCACCTGAAGGTCGCTGCTGGAGGAGGCATCTTGCAGTCCACGATGACCATCTTCGCGCCCAAGCAGCCGCACGAGCAGTGGGGCATCCGCTTCTGGAACCATCAGTTCTGTAGGTACGCCGGCTACGCGCAGGAGGATGGCAGTGTCCTGGGCGACCCCGCCAACGTCAAGTTCACGGAGATGGCGATAAAGACGTTTGGGTGGAAGCCGCCGACGAAGCGGACAAAGTTCGACCCCCTGCCGCAGATTGTGCAGCTCCCGGGCCAGGACCCACAGATGTGCGAGCTCCCGCGCGAGCTCTTCTGCGAGATCTCCATCACGCACCCGGAGCACCCCAAGCTCGCGAAGTTGGGTCTGAAGTGGACCGCCATCCCCACAATCAACAACTTGACCATGCGGATCGGCGGGGTGGACTACCCCTGCTGCCCCTTCAACGGCTGGTTCGTCGACTTGGAAATCGCCCGGAACCTGGTTGAGCGCTACGGCGTGGGCCCGGAGGTTCTAGGCCTCCTAGATAGTGTCGGAGTAGATGGGGTCGGAGGATCGCGCCGCACCGCCGATGCATCGCCGATGCGGCCAGATGTGCAGCCCGATTTGCGTGATTTGCTTCACGTCGATGTAGCCGATGCATCCTCGACGTCGACGATGCATCGCGGGTGCATCGCCGATGCATCGCCGAAGCATCGCCGATGTATCGGCGATGCGGCGCGATCCCCTGACCTAATCAACACCGACCCCATCTTGGAGGCCTCCAGAGGTCGCCAAGATTTGCGGCTTCGACACCCGCTCGAACTCTTCTGGCTGGCGCGCCATGGTTCTGCAGACGATGAGCGCCGCGGTGACCCACTCGTTCCAGAAGTCGCGGTTCAGCATCGTGGACCATTACACTTGCTCCCAGCAGTTCTTGGCCCACGTGGACAGGGAGAAGCAGTGCGGGCGAGAGGTGCCCGCGCAGTGGAGCTGGATCGGAGGCTTCTTCGGCATGCATTGCCCGGCGTGGCATTACGAGATGCGCGACTTCTACCTCCGCCCGCAGTTCCAATACCATTGCGACAGGTGGGTTGTGGAAGACGCGTCGGGCCTGGAGGGTTTCAAACTGACCGAGAGCCACAAATCTCTCCAGGAACGCCCCCTCCAGGACGACCCCCGCAAGGTTTTGATTCTTTACGCCAGCACCACCGGCACCGCAGAGCAGTTTGCCAGAGACATGGCCAAGGAGCTCGGCTTGGCCTACGGGCCGCGGGTGATGGAGTTAAACTCCCTGTGCGAGAAGACGGTCCAGAGGTTCACCCACATCGTCTGCTTCATCGCCACCTTCAACGACGGCGCCGCACCGCAGAACGGCTCCGCCTTCCCGGGCGCCCTGCCTTTCCCGCTGGTGAGCAAGAAGACCGGGCAGCCAATCAGGTACGCAGTGATGGCGTTGGGCAGCACCACGTACCCCGGCTTCTGCGCGTTTGGCAAGAAGGTGAGCAAGACGCTGGAGGCAGCGGGGGCCGCGCGTTTCGTCCCAACGGTGCTGGCGGACGCGCGCAAGGACCAAGCGGCGGATTTCCAGGAGTTCCTGCGCGCGCTTCGCTTCGAGCTAGAGCCGCGCCAAGCGCTGGCGGGCACGGTCGAGTCCTGCATCGCCGTCAGGCTGGGGGAGCCAAGCGTTGGCATTGCGGAGGCCTCTGAGCCCAGCGAGGTGAAGGCCCACAAGCGGGCGGAGGTGGTGGAGTCCACGCCGCTGCTGGCAAACACTTCGGAATGGCGGTCCACGCGGCGCATCCGCATCGACATCTCGCGCTGCGATGGTATGAGCTATCGCACCGGCGGTCACCTCAGCGTCCTGCCCCGTAACCCGCACGACGAGATCGCGAGGCTCGCGCTGGAGCTGGGCATCGAAGAGGAGAGGCTGCACGCGAGGCTCGAGGCCATCATGGTGGAGGGGGAGGATCAGTATCCCGCCGAGCTGGGGTTCCAGCCTACGACGCTGTACGACGCGCTGCAGTGGCACCTGGACATCACTGTCCGTCCGGCAAGCCTGCCGCGCATTCTGGGCATGGTGCGGGACGCCGGCGGCATGACCGCAGAGGAGCACCAGGAGCTATTGCAGCAGGACGGCGAGAAGGTTGCGGAGCAGTTCTGGTGGTTGTCAAGCCTCCTACGCGCCTTCCCACGGGCGAAGGGCAAGATCACGCTCGGCGCCCTCTTCGGCGCGCTGCCCTTGCAGTTCCCGAGGCTCTATTCCATCGCGAGCAGCAGCGTGGTCAGCCCCAGCGTGGTCGAGCTTTGCGTGGGCCTCGTCTACGTTGGCAGCAACCGCGGGCTGGCCTCGGGCTATCTACACTCGCTGCAGGTGGGCAGCCCTGTGTGGGTGTCCGCGCTCGCCTCGTCATTCGACCTGCCAGAGTCGCCAGAGGCGCCTGTGATCATGGTCGGCGCCGGGACGGGCGTCGCGCCCTTCGCCGGCTTTGTCCGGGAGCGCATTCACCATCTGCAGAAGGGCGGGGCCGGGCAGTGCGGCGAGGCCCAGCTCTTGGCCGGCCATCGGTGCCGCGCGGAGATCCTGTACGCCGGCCTGTTCAAGGAGCCCGTCTCTTTCTTGCTTGGGGCATGACGGGCGTCATGGCCCCCGTTTCCCCCCCCCCCCTATGACGTAGCGTTCCCCCCCCCAGTGCGCTCCGGGCACCGCCGCCATGCGTTTTGGGATCCGCGTAGGTGTCCGCGTAGGAATCCGCACAGGAGTCTGGTCCGCAGTCGTCGTCGTCGTCGTCGTCGTCGTCGTCGTCGTCGTCGTCGTCGTCGTCGTCGTCGTCGTCGTCGTCGCTCGTGGCGTGTCGCTCGTCGCTCATAGTCGTCGTGCGCGCGGACGCGGCTGAAGCCTGTTTTTTATTCCGGCCCGATGACGGCAATCATCAGGGAGGGGGTGGAGGGGGTCGATGTCGTCACGTTGTCGCCAGCGGCGTCTGGGACTGTTCAGGAATGACGGAGGACGGGTCGCGCCAGCATGTAGGTGGCGATTTGCACCACAACGTCCGTGTACACCACACTGCCTGCGTGCACCACTGCGCCTGAGTACACCACACCGCCTACGTACACCACAGCAGCCGCGTGCAACACAGCGTCAGCTTGTGCCACCGTGCCTGCGGGCACAACAGCTCTCGTGCACACCAGAGCGCTTGCGTACACCTCGTTAGCCTTGTGCAACACAGCACCAGTGTACACCACAATGCCTGCGTGCATTGCAGTTCCTGTGTGCACCACGGCGCCTGTGTGCACCACAGCAACCGTGCGCAACACAGCACCACTGTTGTATATATATATATAGAATGGCATTACGAATCCTCATGACAAAATATGGAGCGCCTGTGGATTCCACACCAAAAACAATGTCAAATGATATGGACAACGGAGCGCCGCTGGAATGTACGAGTCCTCCCGAGTCCGCCCGCATCACCCTAAGTCCTCCCATCTGCGTCTAGGAGGCTCGAGATAAATTGGCCGTCCGAGAGCCAAGTGGACCGATTCAATATACCATTCTGCGATGCGCGCTGAGATGCGCACGTGCGCTGTAGCGCCAACCCGCACGACAGGGGGTAAGGAGGAGGAGGAGGAGGAGGAGGAGGAGGAGGTGGAGGTGGAGATGGAGGAGGAGGGAGGTGGGAAGAACGTCGCATTCGATTATCAGCAGTTTCCTGGCGTGGCGTCTAGTTGTCCGCAGCAGATTTTCACGTAAGTACATGGTCTTCTTACGTGTCTTATGCACGCAGGCTGCGTGGTGTACACCAGCGCTGCGTTGCACGCGGATGCTGTGGTGTAGACACGCGCTATGGCGTGCACATGCGCTGCGGTGCTCGCAAACACTGAGGTGTACACAGGCGCTGTGTTGCACATGGTAGCTGCGGTGTGCACATGTACACGGGCGCTGTAGTGTAAGCGAGCACGTTGGTGTACGCAGGCGTTGCGTTGCACACGGTTATTGCGGTGTACGCAGGCGCTGTGGTATACACGCGCGCTTTATGCACGCGAGCGTTGTGGCGCACACAGGCGCAGTGGGGAATATCGCCACCTACGTGCTTCTTGCGTCGTCATCGTCGTCGTCGTCGTCGTCGTCGTCGCTCGTCGCTCGTCGCGTCGCGCGCGCGGGCGCGGCTGCGGTGCTGGAGCCACACGGCGGGGCGGGGCGTTTCGTCATACCCCCCCGTCACCCCCCCTCCCCGTCATGACGCCCGTCATCGCCGAACATCAAGAAACGCGCTCAAGGAGGCACTCGACGCGTCGGCGCTGACGACGTACGACGTGTCCCTGTCCAGGGAGCCGGCCGTGGAGAAGCGCGTAGTCACCGACGGGCTCCGCCAGTCGGCGCAGGAGGTGTGGGAGCTGATCCAGAGGCCCGATTGCCACTACTACGTCTGCGGCGGCAGGCGCATGGCCGACGACGCTCACCGGGCGCTGGTCTTCGCCATCGCCCGTGGGGGCAACATGAGCCAGGCGAGGGCGGTGGCTTTCATGGATGGTATGCGCGCGTCGGGCAGGTACCACCTCGACGTCTGGGGGGTCATCAAGCAGGGCGGGAAACACCACCCGCTGGAGAACTGGTCCAAGCCGTGGCTGAGTTTCATGCAGGGTACAAGCGAGGACGGTGAGTTCTGAGGCGCATAGCTCGTCGTCCGCGCTTGAGCGAGAGCGATGAGCATTGTGGTCGCAAGGCGTCCTAGTGGGGTCGGGAGGACTCGATATCTCGATCGGGGGCGGAGCTGGGCGGGGACTCGATATCTCGATCTCGGGGGGGGGGCCGTGCGAGGATTCGATATCTCGATATCTTAATGTCTCGATACTGGGGGGGGCACGGGTGGGGACTCGATCTCTCGATATCGGGGGGCGGGGCCAGGCGGGGACTCGATGTCTCGATATCCCGATATCTAGACATCCGGGGTGGGGCCGGGCGGGGATTCGATATCTCGATCTTTTGAAATCTTGATATCGGGGGGGGAGCTCGAGGCAGAACGACCAGCGTGGAGCAGCAGCAGCAGCAGCAGCAGCAGCAGCAGCAGCAGCAGCAGCAGTGCGATCAGCCTTCCCCTCTCAGCGCGCGCACAGTCGTGGTTCGTCTTGGAGCGTCGCGGCGCGCACACGGTGGAGTGCTTCGGGCCGTCGCGGGCCCTCCACGGTCTCTCCAAATTCCTCCTAATGTCAGACTGCCGAGAGCCGTCGAGCCCGAGCATTTGCGCCGATGAAAATCTTGGCGCGCGTGGGGGTTCTGGGGCAGGTTGCAGGGTCCTGGGCTGTTTTGGAATGGGTTTCGGGTCGTCTTGGGCCCTCCACAGGCTCCTTGGATCTCTTCCTCAGTGGTGCCAGGCTGCCAAGAGCCGTCGAACCATAGCATCTGCGCCAATGAAAATCTTGGCGCAGGTTGCGGGGTCCTGGGCCGTTTCGGAGTGGGCTTCGAGCCCACTTTGGTCCTCCACGGGTTCCGTGGGGCTCCTCCTCATGATGCCAGGCCGCCGACAGCCGTCGAGCCCGCGCAGATGCACCAATGAAAATCTTGGCGCACATGGGGTTCTGGGGCAGGTTGCAGGGTCCTGGGCCGTTTGTGAGTGGGCTTTGGGCCCTCGTTGACCCTCCACGGGTTCCCTGGAGCTCTTCCTCATGATGCCAGGCCGCCGACAGCCGTTGAGCCCGTGCAGATGCACCAATGAAAATCTTGGCGCACATGGGGTTCTGGGGCAGGTTGCAGGGTCCTGGGCCGTTTGTGAGTGGGCTTTGGGCCCTCGTTGACCCTCCGCGGGTTCCCTGGAGCTCTTCCTCATGATGCCAGGCCGCCGACAGCCGTCGAGCCCGCGCAGTTGCGCCAATGAAAATCTTGGCGCACATGGGGTTTGAGGGCAGGTGGCAGGGTCCTGCGCCGTTTTGGCGCGGGCTTTGGGCCTTCTTTGACCCTCCACGGGCTCTCTGGAGCTCCTCCTTATGATGATGTCTTTTGCTCGGCGCCAGGCCAAGGCATCCTGCGCCCGCGCCAGTGCCGACTCAATAAAACCTCCTGCCACGCGTCATCATCAAAAGATGTGGCCGGGCACGCGTGCGGCTATGGATGCTCGTGCGCTCCGTTGGCATCCATCTCTTGCATTTGCCTAGTTGTCGATCCGTTCGCTCGCCTCTGTGGCCGCAGTGGGCACAGGTTGATTCCCGACAAGTCGGGCAACCACGGCTTGAGTTTCTGCCTCGAAAGCTCCTGAGTCCGACTTGGCGGGCAACCACTTGCGCGGACATCGCCGCCGAGGTCCGAATGGAGTGTAGGGGGGCACATGCGAACCCTACCCCAACCCCCACGATTTCTGAGGGGGAGGGTGGGCTGCACTCCGTTCGGGAGCTCCCGAGCGGAGCGAACCCCACCCTCCCCCTCAGACATCGCGGGGGGTAGGGGTAGGGTTCGCACGTGGCCCTCTGGAGCGCGCCGACGTCAAGACCAGGGACGGCCCGGTCGGCTGGGCCTCCGGCGCCGAGCGGCGCCCGCTGGCTCTCCGGAGCCTGCGTGGGCTGCGGCAGTTCTTCGGGGACCACGAGCCGGGAAATCAGCCGAATCCGGCGCGCTCCCGCGGCAGGACGCGCCGGCACGAGGCCTGGGGAGGACCAGTCTCCGGTTGCTCTATAGGGGAGCAACAAGTGACGTAAACATAAAAAAATCGGAGGTCCGCGCGGATGTCTCGGATCGGCGCTGCGGCCCCCCGGCGGCGCCTCCGGCGCCGCCCCTGGCGCGCTCCGCGTGCCAGGGCGGGGGGTCCAGCGCCGATCCGAGGAATCCGCGCGGATCTCAGAGTTTTTATGTTTATGTCATTTGTTGTTCCCCTAGAGAAGGACCAGTCTCCGGTTGCTCGTCACCCTGCGGCCGCCAACGGATGGTCCGAGGTGGCCGTCGCTGGTGCCAGAGCGCTGCGGTGCTCGAGCTGTGCTGAGCGGCCACGCGAGCGACCTCCGCGCCCAGCCCGCCTGCGCGGGGACGATCTGACTTTCGACGAGGTGGCCCAGGCGGGTTTGTTCAAGGTCAGCGTTCAGAGTGGCGAAGGCTGGTGGTTTATGCTGGCGCAGGGCGTGGCCACGGGATACTGCGCGATCGGGCTAGCGCAGGCGCGCAACAGTGGAGAACTATGGGGGCGGCACGAAACACTACGGTTTCCCTGGGCCGGTCCGCTCGACCACTTTGTGTCCGACAACGAGGGGGGACTCGCGAGCGGCAGCCCTGTCGCGCAGCGGAAGCGCCTGCGGTCCGACCGCGGCGTATGCCCCTTGGCAGAAGGGCCGGGTGGAACACAAGATTCAGGAGGCAAACTGTACGATGAAGCAGAGCTCCCAGCGCGGAACCTACAGTGGCCTCGGCGAAATGAAGACCCTCGCTTGGGAGACGGCCTACGAATCACTTCCCGGGCCAGTGCGGTCACGGCTCGTCTCTGTTTCTATTCGGAAAGAAGACGAGGCTGGCGGGCGAGTGTTGGCGCGAGGGCAAGGCGGCGAGTTACCGCCCCCGCGTTGCCGAGGAGGGTGGCCCGCTGACCAGACGGTCCAAGATCCGCGAGCAGTGACAGCAATCCCTCATCACGACAAGGAACCAGGAGCTGGTCCGGCGGGCAGTGGCCGCGCGGAGCTGCGGCAACCTTACAGACTGGATCGAAGGAGAACAAGTGTTCTTCTTCAGGCCTTTCCGCGCAGAACTCGTGCCGTCGGGTGAACGAGCAGGATTGGCGCGGCCCTGCCGCAGTGTTCGGCCAGAAGAACGAAAACGCGCGTGGGTGCAGCGCGGCGGGAGGCCGTTTCTGGTCGCCCTTGAGCACGTAAGTCCGCTTAGTCCCGGCGAGGAACACCTGACAGAAAACGGGGGGTTGTGCAGGTCGCTCGACGAGATCCGTCAGGCGATGAGTCGCGAGGAGTTCGTGGACCTCACGGGCCTGAATCCCGAATTTGAGGACCTGGAAGCGGCCGGTGGCTTGGTGCCCTGGGAGGAATCCGACGACGGGCGCCCGCTCTCGGCGGGGGGGGGCGCTCCAGCGGCGGCAGAGGTCGACTGCGAAGACGACATGGACGACGCCGCCGCAAATCCTGGGGGGCCGCACAGGGGGGTGGACTGCCCTCGAGCCTCCCCCCGGAGCTGGCGCGTCACGCGAATGCCCCAGTCTGGGTCCTGACCGAGCAGGGACAACCCGTCCGGAGTCTGTGCGATGCTTGGGCCTGGGTGACGCCAGAGGGATGGCGCCTTGCGGGGAAGTGGTCGTTGCGCACGACTTATGGGAAGCACGGGGTGACATGGCGCTGCGCCGAACATCGGGCCCGGTGGGCTCAGATGATCCATCCCAGGGAGGCACTCCGACCTCATGCCGAGCGCATGTTCGTGTTGTTCGAGGAAGAGAAGAAGCGGAGGCGCGAGCCGACGTTCGCCACGGTGGAAGCCCCCGCGACGATGAGGCGAGCGGGCGGGCCGGGGCAGGTCGCCTCTCGGCCCGCGCACGAAGTGATGTCGGCGCATCACAGGGGGGGCGGGGTCCGCCACGCTGGGCCGCCAGATTCGAGACAGAGTTGAAGTGGGGAGAAATCGCACCCATGCATCATGGGGACTTCCGCGCAGCGATCGAGAAGGAGCGGGACTCGAGGCTGCGCTGTAAGTGCGCGGCCGTGCTGAAGCAGGACGCGCCTGAGGAGGTGCCGCGGGCGGTGGGTCGTCGACGAGTCTTCGGCAGCGACGTGGAACAAAAAGACGCGATCGCGGCTCTGCGCTGCACTGGGACCCACTGCCGGTGAGAGCAAAAGCCCGGCTGCGCGCGCAGGGCCAACACGGCCCCGGCGCGAAGTTGGGGGCGGTCAAAACCGACGCCCCCGCAGTGCAACGGTCCGAGTTCCACGCTTTCATGCAGCTGTCCGCGAATCTCGAATGGCTTCCCCAGCTGTCGATCGGTGACATCTCGAGCGCGTTCCTCCAGGGGGGGCCGCGCCAGGGCCAGGGGGCGCGCGCGGGCGGCAGCCGAGGGGCGGCCTGCCCGGGCTGGGGCCCTGCAGGTCACTAGCTCAAGATCGAACGCGGAATGCGCGGGCCGCCGGGCGCCCCGCGAGCACGGTTCAATACTTCTCGCAAGGCCTTGGTCGAAGAAATGGACTGGAAGCAGCTGCAGCTGGACGTGGCGCTCTGCTGCCTCTACCAGGGCGACCGTCTTGATGGCGCGTTGATCGCCCATGTGGACGACGTCGTGATCGCGCGCGGCAGCGCGATAATGCGGGACCAGGGGGCCGAACTCAAGGACAGGTCCCCGCTTGGGTCCTGGACATGTCAGGAAGGCCAACGGCGACCTCTACACAGGCCGTCGGGTCAAGGTGAACGGGGACTGCGTTGAGGTCAGCACGCTGGAGGCCGGGGGGAGGTCAACTGTCGGCGGACGGAGATGGGGGGCGCCGCCCGCCCCACTTGGCAGAGCAGAGATTCAGTTGGCGGCGGGATCCTTACACTAGCTGGCCGGACAGCGCCGGATAGAAAGGCCTTCGAGACGAACCGCTCCCAGAAGCTGCAGAAGGAGCCAGCCCGCGCGGAGCTGAACACATGCATCAGAGACGTCAAAGCCAGCCGCGACACCTGCCTGATAATCGCGCTCATCAGGGGCCGCATGGGCGCGGGCTGCTGGCGCGACCCCTCGCCCACGGCAACGTCGGCGAATTCCTTGAGAAAGACGAGGATCTCAGGGGGTTCGACCGTCGCAAGGTCCGCTCACAGACCAAAGTCGCGGTGGCAGCGGTCGATCTGGACTGCATGGGGCAAGACGATTTGCTTATATCCATCCTGGGCTGGCGCAGCTGGGCGAGACATCGCGCCCTTGCGTCGACGTTCTCCGCCGAGACGGCGGCGCGCCTTGCAGGCCACGGCATGGCCCGCAACATGCGGGCGCTCCTGTGCGAGGCCCTGCGGCCCTGCAAGGATGGAGCGACGCGCCGATGGTGGAGTTCGGCGAGGCGCAGATGCCGCTCGCGCTGTTCACCGACTGTCGGAGCCTGTGCGATCATGTGCAGATCGATGGCAACATTTCCGACGATCGGCGCGACGCTGCGCGGCTCGCCGCCCTAAGATCTCACGCATCATGCGGCCAGCAAAGGGGTGGAAACAAGGGGGGGGGGGTAACTAGCCGGTGGATGATTCAGACGGGTTTACACAGGGGGGTTTGATTGACGAGGTACGGGAGCGCATGAAAACGAGTCGAACACGCGCGCGAGAGATGAGCGCCCAAGCCATCATGCAAGGGAGGGCGACAGGCGACGGGAAGCAACGAGGCCCCCCACCCCGCCCCGCCCTCTCCCCCTCCTGCGACTGCGTGCGTCGCGCAGCCGCTGAGGCCCAAGCGAGCGCCCGCGCGCGCGAGCCGTCTACTGCCTGCCCCCTCGCCACGGGCGGCCGCGACGACGCGAGGGCGTCGCCCCCGCCGGGTGGCGACGCGGAGCGGCGGGGCCGCAGTCGGGCGCCACCTCGCGCGGAGCGCGTCGCGGCCAAGGATGAGACGGACGGTTGTCGCCAGATCCCGTTGCCTGCGGCCAAGCAGACGCCGCGGGGCGGCGCGTCGGCCCCGAAGGGGCGCGAGGAGCGCGAAGAGGACAAGAGCGCGGGGCAAGAGCCTCCGCTCGGCCCGGGGTCGGGGCCCGCGCGCCGGGCGCGCCGGGAGCGCGGCGGCGACGGCGCGGGTGGGCAAGGCGTAGAGGACGAGGGGGAAGTCCTGGGAGTGGGCGGTTATTGGGTCGCGTTCGATTGTTCGGTGGTCCAGAGTCTGACCGGCAGCAGCTGGTTCCTCTGGCTTGGGAACTTCTTCCGCGTGGCGTGCCCCGGCCAACTGGCGCGAGCATCGCCGCTCGCCATGGAGAACCTGGCCGTGCGCTGGAACGACAAGGTTTGTGACTGCGCGAATTTCACGCGGCGTCCTGGTGGCTGCCTCGCGGGGAGAGTCTCCGGCCGCGACGGCTTATTCGATGGTTGTCCTCGGCAGACGGGCTGCGCGCAGCTGGGGTCGGGTCGAGAAGCTGCGGGAGGGGCAGGCCCGCCAGGCGAGGGCGCGGGCGCAGGCGCCCGCGATGCTCGCGCATCGCCATCGGGCTGCGTCGAACTGCGAGGAGGAGTCGGCCTCGTCGGAGCGCGGTGGCGCAACGTTGAAGAAGAAGAGGCTGCCCCGGCACTGCGCGAGGCACCAGTCCGTCGCGCCTCGGCTTCTGGCGCGGCCGCAGCAGGCGGAGGGGGCTCAGGAGCGAGCTGCTTTGCCGCGGACCATGGCGTCAAGAGCAGGCGTGGCCTGATAGGCAAGGGGCCGACGGGCAAGGGCAAGCGCAGTGGACCTGTCAGCGAGAGACCCAGGAGGGGGCGGCGGGGCAGTGCCTCCACGGTCGCAGAGGGCCAGTTCGCCCCAGGGAGCATTCCTTCGGAGCTGCTGGGGCACAACGTGTGCCGCTTGTGCTTCCACGTAGGTCACTGTGGCAATCAGTGCCCCCTATCCCTTGCGGACGGCACTCCGAAGGAAGGGCGCTGAAGTGGCCTACGCGGGCGATGCCGACAGTGGCGGCCACCAGTGAGGACGAGAGGCGGGGTGGCGCCCCCCGACCAGACGTTGGCAGAACAGCAGAGCTCCAAATTGCTAGCCAGCGACGTCGCGCCCTCACAACAAAAGAGGAGAAACAACAAACAAAACAAAACCAAAAAACAAAAAAACGCGCTGTCCGTCCCTGTGCCGAGCAGGTGACGGAAATAGCGAGGCACGGGTGATGTGTTTTATCTATTGGGGGCGAAGCCCTCAAGAGAGGGGTCCAAGGGAGGGGCGAGGCGCGCCCGCATGAGTGGTAATGGTACGGTTTCCTTTTATTTGTTCGGGTGAAGCGGCTCCCTGGCGGCTCCCGTGGCCTGTTTCTTCGTATCTGCTCAAGTGAAGCGGCTGAAGGGCCCCAAGACGGCCCAACAGGGCCCCAAAATGGCCCAAGAGGGCACCAAGACGGCCCAAAGAGAGTCTCATATGGCGTCCAGACGGCCCAAGAGAGCCTCAAGACAGCTCTAGAGGCCCTGAAAAGGGGGACCCGACAGGGCCCCCAGGGGCCAAACTCATTGATGTTTTCTGGTTGTTGCAACTTTGGGGTCCTGCTTGCTCAGACCAAGAACGGTCCAAAACGGCCCAAGAGGTCCAAAACATCGCCCCACAACGGCCCAAGAGGCCCCCACAAGGGCCCGAACACGGTCCAAGAGGGCCAGAAGACGGGTTCAGAGGGGCCCAACACGGCGCAAAAGGGCCCCAAGAGGGCCCAAGACGGCCCCAAGAGAGCCCCAAGAGGGTCCAAAGACGCTCCAAGAGGCCCCCGAGATAGCACCGAGACGGCCAAAAGGCCTCCAAGACGCTCCAAGACTGCCCAAAAGGGCCCCAAGACAGCCCAATTTTGCCCCCGAAGGGCTCCCAACGGGCTCCAAAAGGGCCCCAAGAAGACCCCGACGAGGCTCAAGAGACGCTCAAGAACACCAGCCCCCCCCCAGGGAGCGGTGACGTAACAAGCTCTTGGCACCAAGGCTCCCCAGAGCGCGGTGACGTAAAGAGCTCGTCGTACCAAGGCTCCCAGTAGCGAGCGGCAGCCAGGGTTCCCAACGGAGAGCGGCGACGTAACAAGCTCTTACCACCAAGGCTTCAATGAGCGAAGGGTGTCTTGAGTCTTGAGCCATGTCGGGCCAGTTCCTGCAGCGCTCTTTCTGTTCCTGTGCCGGCCCAGGTAACGGAGCCCAAGACAGGCCAAGAGGCCCTCAAAATCGCCCCCAAAAAGACTCAAGCGGCTCCCAAGAGGGCCCCATCACGGCCCACGAGGGTCCCAAAACAGCCCAAGAGGGCCTCAAGGTGGCCCCAACTCTGGAGCGATGCATGGACTGACGCGTGTGCGTGCACATATGGAAGATACGTATTTTGTTTAAAAGCATTGCTTTTTGCTACGCCCCAGCAGCGGCGTAGACGGGGGGGCGGCCGCTGGTGCGGGCCGGGTGGGAGGGTGGATGAGGGATGCATGCCATTGTGCGCAGGCCGGGGAGTACGCGCAAGGCGTCCGACGACAACTCTGCATGCCAATTTTCTACCGTCCGCACACGTTTAAAAGTGCGAGACATCGGCCGCCACGAAACTTCTGTCACAAAGTGTCCGAGCGTCCTTGCGCGGTCGACGCGCGCCGAGTGAACGTACATTTGAGGCCCGACCACAAGGAACCCTCCGCAAGAAACCAACCCTGAGACCCCAGGACGTCCCTTGATTCTCGGTGTGGGAACGCCGCGCTCTCCATCGCAGAACCATCGAAGCAGAAGAGCTAGTCTCTTCTCAGCCGGTGGTGCCTCCGTGGACTTGCCCGGGTACCCACTGTTAGGGCCTGCGGGCCCCAAAGCGGACCAAATATTACCAAGCGGCCCCGTATGACGCCCTCAGAGCTCCCAAACGCTCTCAAGAGCCCCCTCCTGGAAGCCCCACAAATTTTATCACCAGTATGAGCTTGACGCGCCACATGACCCTGTATTCCGATCGACCTCGTGAACCTCACAACCCCTACGAACCCCATGATCCTGATGACCCCTATGAGCCCTACGACACCGACGAACCCTGTGAGCCATACGAGTCCCATGAGCCCTATGAGGCATATGAGCCCTACGCGCCCTCCGGGAGGCCCCCAAGGCCCTCCCCTGTGAGTCCTATGAGCCCCATCAGCCTTACGAACCCATGAGCCCAATGAGCTGCTGAGCCCTACGACACCTATGAGCCCGACGACCCCTACGAGCCCTTCGAGCCCTTCGAGTCCTACGACCCTTGTCAGCGCCTCGAGCCCTCTGAGCCCCATCAGCCCCGTTTGCCCTGTGAGCCTTACGACCTCTATGCACCGCATAAGCTCACGAGCCCAATGCGCCCCATGACCCTATACTCCTCACGACCTCATGCGCCTTCCAACCCCCACGAGCCCCATGATCCTGATGAACTCAGTAGCCCTTCAACCCTTCCGAGCCCTATCATCCCGACGAACCGTCTGAGCCCCATGAGCCCTATGTCCCCTCCAAGAGGCCCACACACACCTCCCCTAGGAGCTCACTGGCGACCTTGCTCCCAAGCGTCCAGTGGACGCGGCACCATCAGCCTACATGAGCTCGATGGGCCCGTCGAGCCCTGCGAGCACACCGACGTCCTCAGTGCCGCGAGCCCTATGGCCCCTATGAGCCCTGATGGCCACTATGAGCCCCATGAGCCCTATGGCCCCTTATGAGCCCTATGAGCCTTATGCGCCCCATTCGCCCTATGGCTCCTCCGAGCCCCAAAAGCTCCATGCCCCCTTATGAGCCGTGCGAGCCGCATGACCCCGATGGGCCCCATGAGCCCTATGAGCTTTATGGGCCCTCTGAGCCCTATGGCGCCTGTGAGCATATGACCTTATGAGCCCTCTGAGCCATGTGAGCTCGACGAGCCTCATGAACCTTACGAGCACAGTGAGTTCGGTAAGCCCTTTTGCCGATGAGCCTCGTAGACCTGCGAGCCCTTTGATCTCTATCAGCCCCCCGGACCCCACGAGCCGCGTGGCCCCAAGGAGCCCCCGTGGCCCTGGGAGCCAGATGAGCCCCATGGGCCATGTGAGCCCTGTGACCCCCACGACCCGATATGAGCTCTATGAGCCTCGTGAGCACGGTGAGCTCAAAACGACCCCTTTTGAGCCCCGTGAGCCTCATAAGCTCGATGAGCCTACCCACCATGGGGCCCCGCAGCCCGTGGCTTCAGTTCGGTCAAGGCCGCTGTGAGCCCTAGAACCCTAAGGAGCTCACCAGCCCGAGGAACCCTGTGCACCCAATTACGCCTGCGGGCTCCCGGAACCTCATGATCCCCTTGAGCGGCGATGGCAGAATTACTCCTCTTGCCAATTAGGGCTCGAAGCCTCTGGGCCGACGCGCGTCGCGGTACGGGCGTGTACCGGTCGCGGCGGGCCTCCCTGGTGCCGTGCCTCGGTATATCGATCGAGCACGCGCAGTCTCTAGGTCTGCGTGGGCCGCACTAATGTCATGTTGCCGCCTGGGCTCACTGCTGCCCCGAAGGCACGACAGTTGTGATGCACATTCATCGCCGTCGCAGATGACATTTTGCAATCCTGCAGCAGGCGCTGTATAGCGCACCCACAGTTGCAGCAGGCGCAGTATAGCGCCCACCATTTTCGGCTCCTCGAGGGCGGGGCGGCGCGGCCCTCCCTGCGGAAGATACGGTGCCCTCGTTTGCACTCCTCCATGGCACTGCTGCTCAGGCTGTCTCAGTCCGAAGTCAAGCTCCTTTGCCGAGAGGCAGGGGTTGGGCGCCGCTCGTCCCTCCCCCGCTCCTCTCGCCTTTCCCGCTCAGCTGGGCCGTCTGGCCTCTCCTAGGAGGAGGAGGAGGAGGAGGAGGAGGAGGAGGAGGAGGAGGAGGAGGAGGAGGAGGAGGAGGGTGGTGTAGCGGGTGGGCCTGGTGTCCGCTTGCGGATGCTGGGCTCGCGTGCCTCGCTGCGGCCGTGGCCCGGCACGGCGCCTGCTCTCCCTCCGTCCTCCTGGGCATGTTGCCTGCCTGCCGATGGGCCACCCTCGCGTGTAGCCTCTCTCGTTCCCGGCCGCCGTGCTTGGAGAGCATGCTGCGCGCGTCGCGGGCCATCCCCGCGTATCGCTTCTCTCGTTCCCGGCCGCCGTGCTTGGAGAGCATGCTGCGCGCGTCGCGCGTTGCCGCTTCTGGGGCTTGGCCCTCCCCGCTCGCCTCCTCTTCCTTTCTCTCTCTCTCCTCGTCGTTTGTCGTCTGCTGCTGCTCCCTCTTCCTTCTTCCCTCCCTCCTGTCCCTCCCTCTCCTTCCTCTCCCTCCCTCTCTTCCTCCTTGTGCCTCGCCTCCCCACCGCCTGGAGAGCAGACGCTTCGGCACGGCCTGTGCACTGGCATCCCCTGTGCACGCGCAGGGCTGCCGCTATCACGTGCCCCGCGTGTGTGAGGTGCCAAGCACTTTGATGAGAGGGCATCTTCCCAATTCCTCAGTCCGGTCGTCGTCGGACTCTTGTTGAGCGACGCTGCCGCTTCGTCGCCCCATCCTTGTTAGGTTGCCCAAGCGCTACGGGCTCTGCGCAGAGACCCAAGAGAGCCCAAAGAGGCCCATATCATTGATTTGCATTGGTTTGTTCGATGTTTTTCCCAACCATCCTGTGGTGTTGGGTCCTCGTTTTGAAGAGACGGTGCCCCGCGTCTCCTTCTCCTCCCGCTGCCCCCTCCCTCCTCCCTCCTCCCCCTCCTTGCCTCTGCTCTCGGCACACCCCTCACACGTTTCGTAGCCCCATAGGGAGCTCCACCGAAGGCCCCAGTGGTTGCTCTCGCATGCGTTTCCCCCACCCTGGGCAGCGCTTCGTGGCCCCATAGGGAGCTCCACCGAAGGCCCCAGTGGTTGCTCTCGCATGCGTTTCCCCCACCCTGGGCAGCGTTTCGTGGCCCCATAGGGAGCTCCACCGAAGGCCCCAGTGGTTGCTCTCGCATGCGTTTCCCCCACCCTGGGCAGCGTTTCGTAGCCCCATAGGGAGCTCCACCGAAGGCCCCAGTGGTTGCTCTCGCATGCGTTTCCCCCACCCTGGGCAGCGTTTCGTGGCCCCATAGGGAGCTCCACCGAAGGCCCCAGTGGTTGCTCTCGCATGCGTTTCCCCCACCCTGGGCAGCGCTTCGTAGCCCCATAGGGAGCTCCACCGAAGGCCCCAGTGGTTGCTCTCGCATGCGTTCCCCCCACCCTGGGCAGCGCTTCGTGGCCCCATAGGGAGCTCCACCGAAGGCCCCAGTGGTTGCTCTCGCATGCGTTTCCCCCACCCTGGGCAGCGTTTCGTAGCCCCATAGGGAGCTCCACCGAAGGCCCCAGTGGTTGCTCTCGCATGCGTTTCCCCCACCCTGGGCAGCGCTTCGTGGCCCCATAGGGAGCTCCACCGAAGGCCCCAGTGGTTGCTCTCGCATGCGTTTCCCCCCTGGGCAGCGTTTCGTAGCCCCATAGGGAGCTCCACCGAAGGCCCCAGTGGTTGCTCTCGCATGCGTTTCCCCCACCCTGGGCAGCGTTTCGTGGCCCCATAGGGAGCTCCACCGAAGGCCCCAGTGGTTGCTCTCGCATGCGTTTCCCCCACCCTGGGCAGCGTTTCGTAGCCCCATAGGGAGCTCCACCGAAGGCCCCAGTGGTTGCTCTCGCAGCATAGGGAGCTTCCCCAGTGTTGCTCTCGCATGCGTTTCCCCCACCCTGGGCAGCGTTTTCGTAGCCCCATAGGGAGCTCCACCGAAGGCCCCAGTGGTTGCTCTCGCATGCGTTTCCCCCACCCTGGGCAGCGCTTCGTGGCCCCATAGGGAGCTCCACCGAAGGCCCCAGTGGCTGCTCTCGCATGCGTTTCCCCCACCCTGGGCAGCGTTTCGTAGCCCCGTAGGGAGCTCCACCGAAGGCCCCAGTGGTTGCTCTCGCATGCGTTTCCCCCACCCTGGGCAGCGTTTCGTAGCCCCATGGGGAGCTCCACCGAAGGCCCCAGCGGTTGCTCTCGCATGCGTTTCCCCCACCCTGGGCAGCGTTTCGTGGCCCCCCAGGGAGCTCCACCGAAAGCGGCACCCACAACGCGTTACGAACAATTGCTTATGGTTGGGTCCTTCGCCAGGATTCGCTTTCTCGCGTTCTCGAGCTTCCAGTGCTCGAAGACGGCCGCAGACGCCCCCAAGACCGCCCCGAGACCGCCGAAGAGGCACCCACAAGAGCCCCAAGACGGCCCCAGGGAGCCCGACAATAGTCCAGGAGGAGCCCCATACGGCCCAAGAGAGCCCCAGGACAGGCCCAAGCTGGGCCACAGAGCGGGAGCGGGAGACCCCAAGGCGCTCCAAGACGGCTCAGATGGCACCAACGTCGCCCCAGATGGACCCACCACGGCAAACACACAGGCCAAGAGGTCCCAAGAGCCCCCAAGAGAGCTCCGAGAGAAGTCGCGAGAGAGCCCGCTCCCTGCATTCGAAAGACAGAGGAGTTGTCATCTCTTCCTCGGTGGCCGCACTGGGTCTGGGGCTGGAAGTTGTGACGCCCGTATCGGCGGGGGGGGTACCTCTGTCGTTGGGCGCAGCACGGCCCTCGGTCTCAGCCTTGCCCTGCTGGTGGCGGCGATAGCCAGGCGCCCGTGGCTGTCTTGGGCGGCCCCCAGGTATTCACGTTTTCCGCACAGGCAACCCGCATACTCAGGATGGGCGACCTTCCCAAAAGTATACTTGCATCCTCGTTTCCTCGGTCCATCCTTGGCCACTTTCGTTGACCGCGCCCCGCTCGAAAAGCTTTCAAATGGCCTTCCAAGTCCCTTGCCTCCGTATCGTGCGTCCTTGTGGTCCTTGTGATGCGGGCTGACTGCACGTCGCGCGCGCCACGTAAGCCCCGTGGGCCTTTGTATACCCCCCCGGGAGGAGCCTCAGACGGCCGAAGAGAGCCCCAGGACAGGCCCAAGCTGGTCCCCAGAGCGGGAGCGGGAGGTCCCCAGGCGCTCCAAGACGGCCCTGATGGCCCCAACGTGGCCCCAGATGGGCCCGACACGGCCAATATACAGTCCAACAGCCCTCCCAGAGGCCCCAAGAGAGCTCCGAGAGGCGTCCCGAGAAAGCCAGAAGAGACCCATATCCTTAATTCCCGTGTTTTTCAAATGTTTTTCGCTTTCTCGCGCTCTCGAGCCTCCAACGCTCCAAGACGGCCGGATACGCCCCGCAGATCGCCCCAAGACCGCCGAAGACGCCCCAAAAGGAGCCCCAAGACGGCCCCGGAGGGCCTGAAGACTGCAAGAGAATCCCAGGAGAATCCCGGGAGAGGCACAAGATGGGTCCCAGGGCGGGAGCGTGAAGCCCCAGGGCGCTCCAGGACGGCAGAGATGATTCCAACGTGGTCCAAGAGGAGCTCAAGACGGCAAACACACAGCCAAAAAGTCTTCCAAGAGGGCTCAAGAGAGCTCCAAAAAACGTCCCGAGAGAGCCCAGAGAAACCCAAATCATTGATTTGCATTTGTTTGTTCGATGTTTTGTCCGCTTTCTCGCGTTCTCGAGCTTCCAATGCTCGAAGACGGCCGCAGACGCCCCCAAGACCGCCCCGAGACCGCCGAAGAGGCACCCACAAGAGCCCCAAGACGGCCCCGGGGAGCCCGAAAATACTCCAGGAGGAGCCCCAGACGGCCCAAGAGAGCCCCAGGACAGGTCCAAGCTGGGCCACAGAGCGGGAGCGGGAGGCCCTAGAGCGATCCAAGACGGCTCAGATGGCCCGGGCCTCTCCCCTCCGCCCCTCCTTCCCTCCCGCCCCCTCCCTTTGCCTCCATTCCCTCCTCTCTCCTCTTCCTCCCCTCACCCCTCTTGTTGTCGTCGTCCCACCCGCGACCCACCCGCGACCCACCCCGCGACCCACCCCGCGACCCACCCCGCGACCCACCCCGCAATCCACCCTGCGACCCATCCGCGATCTCTCTCTCTCTCTCTCTATTTCTCTCCCTCTCTGTCAGAATCTCCCGGGACACCGCCCGGCCCAACTGCATGGGACACCTCCCGGCCACCGGCTGACGGGAAACGGACTTTCGCTCCTACTGACGCCAGGAACACCCGGGACACCGCCCGGCCCAATTGGGACACCGCCCAACCAACGGCGGACGGGAACGGACTTTTGCTCCTACTTCGGCCTAGCTACAGGAGGATCACGCGCAGCTTCGCCTCGCCCGCACGCACGACACCAACACGAAACCGAAACCGATTTCCCAGTGGGGGGTCTCCGTTTCAGTGCGATCTCACCCCCCAACCTCCGATACCTATACGACCACCCTTCGGGTGATAAGGAGGTTCAGGGGGGGGAGGAACCAACGTCTCACTCGATCGGTCTCGCTGTCGATCTCACCATCGATCTCACGATCGGTCTCGCTCGATCGATCTCACTGGATCGATCTCACAATCGATATCACTCGATGTATTCTATTCGATCGATCTCACAATCGATCTCACTATCGATCTTACAATCGATCTCACTATCGATCTCACTATCGATCTCACAATCGATCTCACATTCGGTCTCACCATCGATCTCACTATCGATATCATAATCGATCTCACAATCAACGCCATCATCATCATCATCAACAACATCCTCATCAACGTCATCAACATCATCATCATCATCATCATCATCATCATCATCATCATCATCATCATCATCGGGGCACCATCATCATCATCATCATCACCTCATCATCATCATCAACATCATCATCACCATCCTCGTCATCATCGGGGCACCATCATCGTCACCATTTTCATCAACATCATCATCATCATCATCATCGGGACACCATCATTGTTATCGAAACACCACCATCATCTCATCATCATCTCATCATCATCATGAACAACATCATCAGTATCATCATCATTGGGACACCATCATCATGAGCAGCAACATCATCATCACCATTGGGACACCATCACCATCGTCACCATCACCATCATCACCATCATCATCAGCATCGGGACACCTTCATTATCATCAACATCAGCATCATCCTCACCATCATCGGGCCACCATCATCAACATCATTATCACCACCAATCCTCATCATCATCATCATCATCGGGACACCATCATCGTCATCATCATCATCAACATCATCATCAACCTCATCATCATCATCGGGGCACCATCATCATCAACATCAGCATCATCACCATCACCATCATCGGGCACCATCATGAAAGTCACCATCATCATCGCATCATCATCCTCATCATCAACATCATCATCGGGACACCATCATCATCAACAACAATCATCATCTTCATCATCATCATCATTATCTCATCATCACCTCATCACCATCAACATCATCATGATAATCAACATCATCATCATTGGGACACAATCATCATCAACATCATCATCAGCAACATCATCATCAGCATCATCACCATCGGGACACCATCATCATCGCCACCATCACCATCATCATCATCATCATCATCAGCATCATCATCATCATATACATCATCAGCACCATCGGGACACCATCATCATCAGCACCTTCACCATCATCATCATCATCACCATCATCAACATCATCGACATCATCATCATCATCATCATCATCATCATCATCATCATCATCATCATCTCCGGGACACCGACGGGACACCGGCGGGACACCGGCTGGACATTGCGGGCCACCGGACGCCGGAAGGGAGTCATTTGGTCCGGCCGCGCCTCAGCCACAGCGGGACACTGGCGGGACACCGCGGGCCACCATTTGCCGGAAAGGAGTCATTTGGTCCGGCCGCGCCTCAGCCACAGGAGACTTTCTTCCCGCCCGGCCACTGAGCTTCGCCTCGCCCGCACGCACGGCACGCACGAACACGAAGCCGAAATCGATTTCCCGGTAGGGTGGCTCTCCGTTCCACTTAGATCTCACCCCCTCACCTCCGATACATATATATATATATATATATATATATACACACACACTAGAACCACGCGCGCTACGCGCGCGCTTAGGTTCTAGTCGCAGGTGGAGCACGGGAAGCTCAGGTCTGGTCACGACGGCGATTTCCAGCCTTCTCGGGCCCATGCCATCGACGCAAAGAAGCGCGTAGTCAGAAGGCTCTCGCTCTGCCGGGGCCGCCCCTGAGGGGTGGGATGGGGAAAGCAACTTGTGAAATGATAGGATATGGCGATGCCCCGCTCGCTCTGACGGGCCGTGTCTTCACGTAGAAGCCGGTCCTGAATACGAAGGAGATGGGTACTTGGAGAAAAAGAATTCCCGAAGGGGTTCGCCCTCCTCGCGCCCCTCAGGACCGTCGATAAAGAAAGGGGAGCGAGAGGAGGGGTGCCTTCTCGACCGGCCGGCGTGTCCTGTCACCCGGAACGGTCCCGCCCGAGTCTTCCTGGGAACGGTCCCGCCCGAGTCTTCTGGACATCGGCACGCCTGCACTGAATCTCACGGGCGAGTGATAGGTGTTGGACTGCCGCGGTTGGCAGGAAAGAAGGCTCTCGAGACAATCGGAAACACCGTGCCGTCTGCGCAGGAAGTGCGAGGCGAAGATACGACCCAAGAAGAGCACATGCCGCCGCTGCTGTTCAAAGAAGCGAGGTCGCGTCGAGGAGCTCGGCCTCCCAGCTGCTCGCTCGACCTCCTCTTACTCCCTGCCTCCACCACCCTTCCATCCAGCGGGGCGCCAGTGCGCTCATTAGGGCTGGACCGCGAGCCTCCTCTCCTCTCGAGCTGTCCCTCCCCGCCCTCAGTTCGCTGGCGTTGCCCCTGTCCTCGTGCCCTCGGCCAACATCCACTCGGATTCCCAAGGCTCGCTCTTTCGGGCGTGAGTGGCTTAGTAAGCTTCCTCATTCACCTTCCCCCTCCCCCACCCACCGAGAGGTCCCAAGAGACTCCAGGAGAGGGATCCCAGAAACTTCTCGAAAAAGTGTCACTTCCTTCCCCCTTCCTCCATCTTTCGGGGGAGGGCGCCTCCTGGCCTTCCCCTGCGACTCCCCCGCGTGCCTGATCGGGGCAGCTCGCTCGGGCATCGTTTCTGGAGGGCTTTCCTCTGGAGTGCTGCAGGTCTGGGCGTCCGTTTGGGATGCCGTGCAGCGAGGGGATGCAGAACAAGCTGGATGAGTGAAAACGTAGAAATGCCAGCCTCAGCCTCAGCCTTGGCAGTCAGCTTGATGCCTTTCCACGCGGTGTCCATGATCTGGCACCTGCCCGACCCCTTGTAGGAGAAGAGGGGGAAGGGGTGCAGCGGGAGTGAAAGAAACGGTGTGTGAGGGAGTGAACGGAGAGAGAGAGAGAGAGAGAGAAAGAAAGAGAGAGAGAGGGAGAAAGAGAGAAAGAGCGAGAGAGATAGCGAAAGAGAGAATGATAGAGAAAGAGAAAGAGAGAGAGAGAGAGAGATCGCGGGGAATCAAGAGGGACGTAGACGGGGCGGGAATGGGGCTAGGGGCCACGCGGGAGCGGATAAGAGGGAGGGGGATCAGCGCTAACTGGATAGGCAAGTGGGAAAGGAGGAGGAGGAGGTGGAGGAGGGAGTGGAAGACAAGGCGGTCGGGGAGGAGAAGGAGGGAGGAGACATGGGAGGAGGAGGAGAAGGAGGAGGAGGAGAAGGAGGGGGCAGCAGGAGCAGGAGGAGGAGGAGGAGGATAATATTTGGAAGAGAGTATCCCTGCCCCACCGTCCGTTGCATATGCTTTGACCCTGGGCGCTGAGTGACGTAGACGCATGTGATGTATTCGACCGTTCTCCGGGCCGACCTCAACTTAAACTGCGTGCCATTACATTCATAGTTCACAGTCAAAGTTTTGTTCTCGCCCTTCCGTGGGGTCATCAATTTGATCAGTTCCAGTTTGGTGTAGCTGAGATCGGAGAGCTTCCGGATGACCTCCCCTGCCCATAATTTCTTCTCCTTCACCAGCCTTCCCCCCGCAATATCAGGCGAATCCCCACAGGGGACGTGCTAGGGAGGAGGTGGGGCAAGAGCAGAGGAGGAGGAGGAGGAGGAGGAGGAGGAGGAGGCAGGGGCATGATGAGGATGATGACGATGAGGAGGGGAAGAAGTATGATCAGTAGGGCGAGGGAGGAGGAGGAAGAGGAGGAGGAGCAGGGGGAGCAGGAGGAGGGACGAACCCCCCCCCTGACTGATTTGAGATATCTGCAGCTTTCCACCAGAACCACTGTAGGATGAATTCTTTTTTGCATCTGTGGATTTGGTATTTGAGGTATGTATGATTGTGTAAACCGAGAGTTTCACGAGGCCGACTGCACACCATCGGGGTGGGCATGCGGTTCATGGCACTGCTGTCCGTCTGCTCCTTTGGGCAGGGGGTTGGGGGGGTGTTATTGAAGGGCATGTTGATCGTGAGGGTTGCACCCTTTCCCACCGAGAAAGGCACGCCGCCAGCAGCGGGACCGCCCTCCTCGTGCGATGCAACAAACCCTTCTCTCTCAGATGGGGTCCGAGTGGACGGGGTCGGACGATCGCGCCGCGTCGCCGACGCATCGGCGATGCTGGCCGACGGTGCCGATGCATCGCCGACGTCGCTGGTGCATCGGCGATGCATCGCCGATGCATCGCCGATGCGGCGCGATCATCCGACCCCGTCTACTCCGAACCCATCTAGGAGGCCTCTATTTTCTACCTCTTGTCGCCGTTGTCCTTCTCCTCCTCCCCCTCCTCCTCCTCCTCCTCCTTCTCCTCCTCCTCCTCCTTCTCCTCCTCCTCCTCCTCATTGTGTTTTTTGGGCCTCCACGTTTGGGCATGTTCCAGAAACGTTTTGCTGGAGCATGGGTCTCGACAGGGTGAACATGCATCTTCCCTTTTCTGCAACGCTTCCTCTTTCCCCCCTCGCCCCCCCCTTTCCCTATCCTCCCACGCTTTCTATGTCCACGGGCCTCCGCAATGACTTCCATGAGCTCGCGACGCTCTTTAGAAGGATATGCGAGCTCGTCGTCGTCCTCCTCCTCCTCCTCCTCCTCTTCCTCCTCATCACGCCTCCCTCTTCAAAACCACCTCCTCCATCATCCCGGCTCCTCCCCTTCACCTCCTTCCCTTCCTGCTCCTGCTCCTGCCCCTGCTCTTGTGTCTCATCATCTGTCTCCTCACATCCTCCGCTGTTCTTTCCCTCGCTCACTTCCTGATCCTATTCCTCTTCCTCGTGCAACGTCCTCATACTCCTCCTCGCTCCCGCTGTCCTCGTCCTCAGGATTCCTCTTCATCCTATCTTACACGCCCGCTATTCCCCCAATCGGGGCTCCGCGAGCGGCTTCTCCGGCGTCGGGTCCACGGGCTGGGCCGTCTTCTTGGGGGGCGGGGTGTCCTGGCGGTGCCGAGGGGGAGAGGTGGAGGAAGAGCACGAGGGGCAGCCAGAGATGCGCACGAGGAGGGCGAGGAGGGGGTCAAGGCACAGGAGCAGGAGGAGGATGAGGAGAAGGGGGAGGGAGAAGAGGAGGAAGACTTGGGAAAGGAGGAGGGAAAGGAGGAGTAGGAGGAGGCAAAGCGGATCCCAAGAAGGGGCGCACCACCACTAAGCCAGGCCCGCGAGACGGTCTAGGAATCGGAACGCACTGAGGGGAAGCTGTCTTAGGGAGAGCATGCCACGGGCAAGGGGCCGAGGACGCATAGACCTCGGAATGTGTCCCCCCCTCCCCAATTTTAATCCCCCTCGAGCTCCAGCTCGCCGTCGCACTTGTCCGCGCACCCGGGATCGTCAGTGCACCATGTGCCGGGGGCCCCCTCCGGTTTCTTCATCACGGGCGCTGCCGCTGGCCTCTTCATCCAAGCTGCCGGCCTCCGACTCACGAGCCCGATGTCATCGCCGTCCTCGTCTGCGGCCCCGTCGTCCTCCTCCTCTTCCTCCTCCTTGCTTTCCTTTCTCCCCTCTTGCCACGTAGCCCCCTCCTGCCTCTTTCCGCGGTCGCTTCCTCGGCAAATGCTGCCAGCTGGCGTGGCCGTCGGCTCTCTCTCGTGGGCACGGCCCGCTTCGGATCGGGACAGTTGCCCCCCCTGTCTGGGGGCGGCGGAAGAGAGGATTGGCTCTGGCGGGGTGGAGATCGAGGTTCTGGGGCCGTCTGAAGGCCTTCTGGAGGCCACGGGAAGGGGGTAGTACGAACCGCGTGCCGATCTTCCGAAGGTGGCGGTCCCCGGGCCGGGACCCCGCCTGTGTAGCTACAGACTCTGTCGTGCCCATGTATGTGTGTAGCTATAGACTCTGTCGTGCCCACCCATGGGTGTGTCCACTCATGGGTGGGTCCACCGTCGCGTCCCGCCCCTACGTGGTAGGACGGTCCGATGTTGTTGGGACAACCAGGCGATCATATCTTCGCCAGCTACTAGGTCACGCGCCGTGGCTATGTTTGCTTCGCGTCGGAGTGTGGCCTTCCAGACTCCCCGTTCAGCCTCCTCCTCCTCCTCGCTGCCTCCCCCTTTTTTCGCTGCCGGTGCCTTTTCAATTCTGGCCGCTGGCAGGATTCGAGGCCTGCACGGGGCAGCCGACTTTGGCAACCGAGCTGCCCACTGCTCCCTCATTTGCGTTTCCTCCTCCTCCTCGAACGCTCGCCCGGGCAATAATTGTCACAGGTAGTTTTTGTTGTTAGCGTCTGCTTGTCCAGGGGGGGCAGGATTAGTCCGCCCCAGCCGGCGCGCACAGCAAGCAGCGACATAATCGTGGCGAGGCCCGATCCCGTTCTTGCACGAATGCATGGCCCGAGTTTCGGATACGTTCTCAGGACAGCCTTGCGACGAACATGAGTCGTGTATATAATCGCTGTCCGCTCCGAGTTCCTCCTCCTTGATTTCTTTCTTCACCCTTTTCTTGTTCTCGAGGTCCTTGGGATTCGGGGGCCCTGAGATCTTGAGCTCGCCGTCCTTCGAGAGGTAGCTGCTCGGGAACTCTGTGGTCAACATACCGCTCTTGAACACCACCACCTGGACGAATCCCCCATCTCCGGCTTTGAACGTCGTGGATGTCTCTTGGGAACCATCGGGAAACAAGCAGATGCCGGTCCTCAATGAGATGTCGAAATACTTCCCGACCTCCTCTGGCTCCTCGTCATCCATCTCCTCCACCGCGGCATCCCCGTCGCCCTCCCAGTACTGCTGGTCCTCGTCGTCAGACTCGACCAGGGAAACTCGAGCGAGGTGCAAGTTGAGGAATGGGCTCTTCTCTGGCTTGGTCTGGCAATCAGGGACATCGGAGGCCTTCGAGAGCTCGGCTTGAACTGGGGGGCGCGTGATGAAAGAGTAGATCCTTACCAAGGCGCTCGGATGGTGAGGGGGCCCAGGTGGCTCCGAAGCAAACTTGGCGAGAAGACGCTGGTACTGGAAATGTTTCATCCGGATGTGGCACAGCATGACCTTCGTCACGTAAGCATATTATTTCGCCAATTAGTCTATGTTTCCGTAGTTTTGGCGGCAAGCAACTCGCTCCGCGATGACCCGCCGCTGAGGATTCTCGTTGATGGCGTCCTGGGGGATTTGGCATTCAAACAGACACTTCTCGTCTTCCTCCTTCCTCCTCCCTTCAGCTCCATCACATTTCTTGTCCTTTCCCAGTCCTCCCGTCCTTTCCCCGTCTTCCGTCCCCTCCTCCCTCCTCCTCCTCCTCCTTCTACTCCTCCTCCTCCTCCTCCTCCTCCTCCTCCTCCTCCTCCTCCTCCTCCTCTTTCTTCCCTCCCACTCCGCCACCTCCTCCCGCCCCTTCCCCATGCCTCCTATTCCAAACCATCGTACTCCGGACCCATTCCAAATCATGGGGCTCAAGAATCGGGTAAGGGGGACAGTGCCATTTAGAATACCCCCGTCCGTGAACGCTTCCACCAGGTCGCCCCATGCGAAGAAGCCCCCCCTCGGGTCCAGGGACAGGAGCTTCGTGAAAAACTCCTCGTGGTCCATGAGGCCCTGCACGCTGAGGCCCTTCTTCATGTCCTTGGAGCCATACCCCAGCACGCCGTGGTCGAGCCAACCGTCGATGAAGGGCAGCGCGCACTCCTGATGAGAAAGGGACGGGCCAGGATGGCAGGGGCGACGGTATGAGGATGAGGACGGAAGAGGACGAGGATGAGGCTGGAGGAGGAGGCGGAGGAGGAGGAGCATGTGGAGAAGGATTGGAATCATGAGGAGCAGGAGAAGGAGAAGGAGAAGGAGGAGGAGGAGGAGGAGGAGGAGGAGGAGGAGAGCGAGGCTGGCGAGGGCGATTAGGACAAGGTTCAGAAGGAGAAGTACGAGGAAGTGGAGAAGGACTAGGGGGTAGGAGGAGGAGGGCGGAGGAGGAAGGAGAGGGTATGAGAAGGTGGAGGTGGAGGAGCATACGATTCTTACAGGACAATGTGGATTAAGTAGTGAGCTCCTTGATCTGCACGGGCACTGGCTCATCGAATAAGGCATCGGTGGTGGAGGGTACCCAACACTTTGCTTGTGTCGAGGCCATGGCAGCCTCGCTCTCTCAATCTTGGCCCAAAACGGCTCTTGCTGAGGGTGCGAAGGCTTCCTCTCCCCTGAACGTGGGTGGCCTTTGCTGTAGGCAGTGCTCACCATGGACCCCTCGTTGCTTCTCTGCCTTCGGGGGATTTCGGCAGTTTCCAGCGGTCGATGGCGGTTTCTGGCGGTCTCCGGCGGTTTCCGGCGGACTTCGGCGGTCTTCTTCGCGCAAGTTGGGCGGTTCAGTTTAACAAGGGGTCCATGATCGAACACCTATGGCAGACACGCAGACATACTTGTATTATGTGTCCTCCTTGGAGGCGCGCATCCGACCCGAACATATAGTATACCCATCTTCCATCTTGTAGTAAATATTTTCCCGAGCGGTGTGGCCAGAAAGCGCCTGCCACAACGCATATAGTATAAGATGTCTCGGTACGCGCGTCGCTTCTTGGGGGGGAGGCGCACATATAGTATCAGTATGTTGGGGTGACGCCGAACCTAACCTTCGTCGCACGGCGAGATGGAAGGGAAGGAGGATGTTTCCAAGGTGACGGGTGGGCGGGAGGAGAAGGAAAACGTTGAGGAAAGGGGGTGTGACGTGACGTGGTGTCGCAGTGTCGTGGCGTCTTGGTGACTTGCAGCGTAGTGGTGAGAGTTGCTCTCTGTGCAGTGGTGTCGCAGCGTCGCGATGTCGAGGGTCGTGCCCACGTGTGTCGTTTGTGTTTGTGTTTTTGTTGCTACTTTCTGCAATCACAACTATCTTCAGGTGTTGGGTCGGTCCTCAAGAGACACCGCCCCACGCCCACACCTTCCCCATAGAGAGCTCCACCGAAAACCTCAGTGGCAGCGCCCGCATGCATCCACCCCACCACGTAATATTTGGTCCCTCGCACGTTCCGTGGACCCATAGGGAGCTCCACCGAATGCCCCAGTGACAGCGCCCGCATCGCCCACCCAATCGCTTTTGCGGACCCCACGCGTTGGGCTCCATTCCACCGAAGGCCTCCCCACCCCGCAATATATGCAGACCCCTCGCACGTTCCATGGTTCCCGTAAGGATCTACATGGGCAGACCATTCAAGCAAACACCGTGGCCTCATACAAGAGCTCCTCCGAAGGCCCAAGCGGCAGCGTCCGCATGCACCCAATCCACTACTTTGCCAGACCCCTGTCACGCTTCGATGGTGGCCACATGGAGGGCTCCACCGAAGGTCCCAACGGCAGCGCCCGCATGCGCGCGCACACTTCACAGACGCACACACGCACACACACGCACGCACACGCCAACGCGCAAACACTTTTTTGGCGTTGCGGTCACGTGCGCGGGCGCGCTTGTGTACATGGCACGTATGATTTGTGAGTGCGTGCTTACAGTCACACGCAAACACGCGCGCACGGACAAGCACGCGTGTGTGTGTGTATGTGTGTGCGTGTGTGTGCGTGTGTGCTTGTGTGCGCGCGCGTTCTCTCTGCGCGCACACGCACACACATTTGCCACAATGCGTCATCGATACTGGAGTCCGAAGGCCCATATACATACATACATACATACATGCATACATACATACATACATACATACATACATACGTGTGTCTGCATACATGTATACCATATGTTCGTATATGTGTGTACATACATACATACATACATACATACATACATACATACATATGTACATACACACATACACACATACATACATACACACCTCATGCATACATACAACTGTTCTATACGTATATGCATATGCATATATTTATATATGTGTATGTATATGCACACATGACCACGACGTGGTGGCCGCATTCTTGTTTTAAATTTGAGACACACGTGCGTGTGTACGCGTGCTTTACCGCACACGCACAAGTGTCGAATCCCTAATCTAAAGCTGAACCCGAAACCCAACATTGAGAATATTTCTTTGATCCGCGGGTCGAGAGCGAGCCTCTTCCGATAGAAGCCAAGCGGGCCGCGCACAGCTTTAATTAGAACGTTGAGAATGAACACGCGATTGCGTGAAGGTGCGATCGCAGAGTTCAATGACGGTACTCTGCATGCGTAGACCAACGCATTTTGGCCTTTTTCATGGTGGTTCAATGACGGCACGCCAAGAGCTAAAAATAGACTCCGGGAGTCAAAAAAAGACGCGGAGTTAAAAATAAGCGCCTCGGTGCTGATTTTGCGCAAGAGCTAATTTATAAGCTTTTCCGGCTCCCTGGGTGAAGACCTCGCGAAGAGGAGCCCGCGGCGCACGTGCTCCCGTTCACGCCTGATATCGCGAGCCGTGGCTAGCCTGGCGCTGAAAGCGGGCTGCGTCGATGTCGAGTGCCTCCTGTTGGTTGGTTTCGAGGGCCGGTTGCGCGGCGGCGAGGCCTTCGCGCTGTGCGAGGGCGACGTGAATTGCTGAGCCAGTGCGCCGTCCTCCGCACAGCCTCGTCCGAGGAAGCGGCAGGGCGCGACGCAGCAGAGCCAGCTGCTGCGGCTCGTCAGGCACGGTCTGGACGAGGGTGACAGGCTTGGCATGCGGCCGCCACCCCTGTTCTAGCGGCCCTCGCAGCGCTGGTGCAGCGGCTCGGGTCCCAGCGCCTGTTCAGCTGGCGCAGCTGCCGACGGCGGGCCAAAGAATTGAGCTCACCTTGGCCCGCAGGCGTTGGACCAGCAGCCTCGCAGCCCGTGCATGTGTCAAGGACGCGCTGGCCGACTGCGAGCGGGCCCTGCGCGGTGGCGCGCACAAGGTTTCGCCCGACAGGGGCTCCCGTCCCTGCGTTTTTTCTTCAAGCTGCCCTAGTGCAGTATGACCTCCTTTCTGGTGTTACAGCTCTCGCATTGTTTTCCACTGCCTCCTTCTCACCCGCCCCGCCTCTCGAGGTCCCCTTCCTGATACGCCCTATGGGCAAGCCAACGTTGGCACGCGGAGTGCCACAGCGTCCCTGTGGGGGCCCCGGGCCGCCGCGTGACGATTTGGCGGCCCCTCGCTCTCGAATTGGCACAGCTGCTTGGGGGTCGGCCCAGGGGCGTTGTGGTCGCTGGTGTTGGCGGAGTCCTGAACGGGGCGCAGGTTGTAGGCAAAGAGGCGGTGGCCTCCCCCCCCATTTTCCCAACGCGTCTGGCCTCAGAGGTCCCATTCCTGTCTCGCCCATGGGCAAGCCAACGTTGGCCTGTGGTGCGCCACGTCGTTCCTGGAGGTCCTGGTCCGTCGCGGGCCGTTCGGGCGCCCCCCCCGCTCTTGGCGAGGCGCAGCTGTGGGGGGGTCGAACCAGGGACGTCGTGGTCACAGGTGTTGGATGTGCCCTGGAAGGGTCCAGGTTGCAGCAAGAGGTTGAGACCGTACCCGCCCCACCTCTCAGAGTCCTCTCGCAGGCGAGAGGCGGCGGTCCTCTCCCGACCCACCCTCTAACCCTCGTCCCGATCGGGGCCGACTGCTTACGGACGAGGCGCAGCGTCCCTGGGGCCGCGGTGCCTGTCCTCGGACACGTTACTGGGGTTTTAGAGGGGCGTCTGAGCGTAGTGACCATTGGCGAGGGAACGCCTGCCCCAAAAACGTCTCTGTCTCTCTTTCTCTCTCTCTATCTCTCTTTCTCTCTCTTCTCTCTCTCTCTATCTTTCTCTATGTGTATATATGTGTATGTATGTATGTATGCATGTATGTAGGTATGTATGTATGTGTGTATGTATGTATGCATGCATGCATGCATGTATGTATGTATGTATATATAATATATATATATATATATATATATATATATCGAGGGTGGGGGGGAGATTGCAGTGGAACGGAGACCCCCAACCAGGAAATCGTTTCGTTTCGTTCGTGTCGTGCGCGCGGGCGGGCGAGGCGAAGTTGCGTGAGCGCGCGAGAAGAATGAACCCGCCGCTGCTGGGGCGAAGCCAGGACAAATGATGATCCCCCTCCCGCCAGCGGTGGCCCGCAGAGTCCCGCGGTGTCCCGTGGTGTCCCGTGGTGTCCCATGGTGTCCCGTGGTGCCCGCCGCTGCTACGGCGAAGTCATGAATGATTCTCCCCCTCCCGCCCGTCCGGCGGTAGCCCGCGGTGTCCCGTGGTGTCCCGCGGTGTCCCGTGGTGTCCCGTGGTGTCCACCGCTGCTAGGGCGAAGTCAAGACATGACTATCCCCCGCCCGCCCGTCCGTCCGTCATTCCGGCGGCGGCTCGCGGTGTCCCGTGGTGTCCCGTGGTGTCCCGTTGTGTCCCGTGTTGTCCCGTTGAGTGAGATAGATCGATATTGAGATCGATACTGAGATCAGTAGTGAGTGAGATCGATATTTTAACGAGATCGACAGGTGTCCCGTGGTGTCCCAAAAAGTGAGATCGATAGTGGGATCGATGGTGAGATTGACAGGTGTCCCGTGGTGTCCCGTGGTGTCCCGTTGAGTGAGATCGATAATGAGATCGATATTGAGACCGATGTGCTGCCCCGAGGTGTCCCGTGGTGTCCCAAAAAGTGAGATCGACATAGGTTTCCCGTGGTGGCCCGTGGTGTCCCGTGGTGCCCCATTGAGTGAGATCGATAGTGAGATCGATAGTGAGATTGATGTGGTGTCCCGAGGTGTCCCGTGGTGGCCCGCGGTGTCCCGTTGAGTGAGATCGATAGTGAGATCGACAGTGAGACCGACAAGTGTTCCATGGTGTCCCGTGGTGTCCCGAGGTGTCCCGTGGTGTCCCGTGGTGTCCCGTTTCCCCCCACCATCTTGGCGACGGGTCCACCCACATGCAGGCATGCAGTACCGCAAGACAGGTGGCACGAAGGACGGGGGTCCTTGTGTCGGAGGGAGGAGAAGCGACACCAACACCACCAGGGGGCCCACCTCCAGCGAGGAGGTCCGCAATGCCTCCCCGAACGAGGTATAGACACATACATCTATATACGCACAAACGGCTATTGTATGAAGATGTGTGTGTATATATATATATATATATATATATATATATATATATATATGTGCATGCGCCTGTGTATGCATGTATGCTTGTTTGAATGTGTGTATGTATGTTTGTTTGTATGCATGATTGCATGTATGTAGGTGTGTACGGTTTTATATATATATATATGTATGTATATGTGTATGTGTGTATCTATGTATGTGTGCATGTATGCCTCTATGTATGTCTGTGTATGCATGTGTGAGTGTATGTATGCATGCATGTATGTATGTGTGTATGTGTATATATATACACATACATACATACACACATATATATATGTACATATATGCATGTATGTACGTATGCACGCATGCATGCATGCATGCGAGCTTGTATTTGTTGTATGTATATGTGGATATGGTATACACATACCCATATAACAAATGTACATGTATGTTTAGATGTGTATATTCATAGCTCCCGCCTCAAAGTCTGGGCGTGGCCTCTGGGGCCCGTTACGGGGCTCCTGGAGCATCCGCTCCGGGACGGAGCCAGGGGAGCGGCCGGGACGCCTCGGGCCGTTGACTGAAAGCACCACGTCGGCGGAGGTCAGGGGGGATCGTCGAGCAGTGGCGAAGCGTCCTAGTTCGCCTATAGGCCTACCAAATAATGTTATAAGAGCCTTTCGTGGTCCGCTCGAAATGTTCTTAGAACATTTCTAGCTGAGACTGTTTTGTTTGACCACATCGGGCTTATGTTCTAGGAGCATCGTTTTTGTTCGTAGAACATTTTTGGGTTCTAAGAAAAGTTTCGTGGTAGGCCTATAGGAATGCCGGGACGGTCGGTCCCTGCTCAAGATCGAGGAGGAGGGAGGATCGTGAGATTTTGTGGGGTTTTCGTCGAAGAAGAAACACTCGGAGGTTAATAGGTCTCCTACCTTGACGCGTCGATTAGCGAATTGGCCGGTTCCAGAGAGGGCGTCGCGGCCCGTCATTCTTGCGGGTCTGGATCAGTCGGTTTCGGTCCTTGGCCTTTTTTAGTAAAGGTTGTTTACTAAAGGGAGGTTTTTCCACCTTAAAAAAAAAAAGCTATTAACATAGGCGGCGCGGGAGGCGCCGCTTGGGGGGCAAGCGCGGATCCAAGAAATTCGAGCGGAGCGCCAAGAGTCTATGTTTATGCAGTGTTTTCTTCTTGTAATCTTAAGTCGGGCATGTCCCCCTACAGGCGGAGTTGGACGAAACATACAAAATACCCAAACAATACCCCAACGATGCCCCAAAAATGATCAAAAAAAACATTTCCATTTTTTTTTAACAATTTTGGAATATTTCCCCTGTAGAGGGACAGGCCCGACTTAATTCTAATCGTGAGGTTTTCTTTGGTTTTCGGCCTCTGGGGGCCTTTCACGGCCCTGGGACCGTCCGAGAGCGAGCCGGCCTGGAAGATTCGTCACGGGGAGCATGTCCAGACCTGCGGGGCTCCATGCTGCGAGAGCAGCGCGACGCCGGAGACTATTGGGCTACGGGATGAAGAGAAACCGTTTCACACCCGTCCCGAACGCTTTCACAGCGTTCCAGAGGGATCGAGGAGGAGGGACGAATTGGAATACAAGCAAACGACACGAACATATTTGTTTGGGGGTCCGCGCGGGAGTTTTGGATTGGCGCTGGACCACATGTGGCGGCGCTTGCGGCGCCGCCCCTGGCGCGCTCCGCGCGGCAGTGAGGGGGTCCAGCGCCGATCCAAGAAGCTCGCGCGGACCTTCAGAAGTCAACATGTGCCACGTGTACGCCGCGGGATGCGGGGAAGGATCGAGGATGATCGAGGCTCGAGATTCGAGGAGGGAGTGTTCGATGAGGAGGGAGGGTTCGACGAGGAGGGAGGGAGGATCTGGGAAGACGCCCCAGGAGCAGGGAGGGGCCGATGAGGAAGGAGAGTCGAGGCTCTGGAATCGGGAGGAGGCTCGACGAGGAGAGTAGGATCGATGAGGAGGGAGGGCCGAACTGAAGGGAGCTCCAGGAGGAGGGGAAGATCGAAGAGGAGGAAGAAAGATCCCAGACAGGCTCAGGATGAGGGTAGAACGCTCCAGAGAGTTCCGGAGCTTCCTCAGAGCGCTCCGCAGCGTTTGGAACGGCGGACTGGCCGCGGTGCCCAATACATCCTCCGGACCTGCCAGTATCAGAGATCTTCGAATTAGTCACACATTTTACTATCGCACCGACGTGAGCGGACATGAAGGCACGATGATAACAGATTCGGATAATCCTTATCCAAGTTTGTCCGCGTCCTGCCTTCGTGTTAGGATCGAGCTTCGAGGATCGAGGATGCGGCTCAGGCATGGAGGACCAAAGCGGGGAAGGACCCCGGGACGATGCTCGCGCATGGCATGTTTCGAAACGCTTTTGGCCGCCCAGTCTCTGGAGACTTCCATGTCCCCCGGGAACCCTTCGCCATGGAGAGGGAAGGTTCCATGGTGCTCCAGTCGTCCTTTGCGTTCTTTTCGGATGTTTATCCTTTCGTCTTCTTTTGTCGGTGCCACCCACACATGCTAATACGATGTGTGCGTCGCCCACGAAGGAGCGACGAGCGCGCGCGCGCCGAGAAATGCTATATGGCATGCTCCGTGGTAGGCGCTTTCTGGC